ATTTTTGAAATATTTACATAAAATACTCTTTTGACCCCTCACTCATGGTTTTTGGTGATTTTTGAAATATTCAATCTATCTATCTATCTATCTATCTATTTATCTATCTATCTATCTATCTATCTGTCTATCTATCTATCTGTCTGTCTGTCTATCTATCTATCTATCTATCTATTTATCTATCTATCTATCTATCTATCTGTCTATCTATCTATCTATCTATCTGTCTATCTATCTATCTGTCTGTCTGTCTATCTATCTATCTATCTATCTATCACACGTTTAAATCTTCAACCGATTAAACAGTGAAGTCACAAAAGAACACATTTTATGTTTGTTAAGTGTAATGTAAAACTGCTAGTTTTCTGAATGGACCTTGGCACGAGACCGGCACCGTTTTACCCGGCAACACAAACTGCAGTTTTCTGTTTGGGCCTAGGTTGTGTAACTTTACAGTACATAAAGTTGGTGCCAGCTCTAAAAACATCTCGGACCCCAGTGATTTTGGTTTCGATGGCTTCGAGTCGGCCACAATGTTTCAATGTGTCATTTCCTGGCAGATTTTGTTGTGCTGGCAGCGTCACACTGAGCACTTGTGTGTCCGCAGAAGTAATGGCAACGTGTTCTTTAATTACACTATCTACAGAGAAAATGCACTCCACTCTGAGCTCTGACTTTCCTCTGACACAACCAGGGTATAAATTACTCCCAGCTGAAGCATGTGGTTTTTTTTTAACCTCCACACAGACACTCCTTCATAACAGAGGAACCAGCAGAGTCATATTGGAGGCAGGGATGTTAACATTTGTGTGCTGAGGAGGCTAAAGCAGCTCCGGCGTGTCCTGATCTGACACCTATCCAATTTAAAGTTGAATGAACTTTAGTAAAAAATAGAATTAATACGTCTAGTTCAAGGCCATGAGCCTTGAAAGCAGTGTAGTTAGTGTGGAAATTCCAAGAGATTAGAGTGCAAAAATATAAATAATAATTCCCCACAATGGGGAAAACAAGTCTTTGCAATTCACACAGGCTGCCACAAGAGGCGCTGCTATTCGGTGTGTGGTTGCAACTCAAATGTTACCACACGGGTGGGACCACGAACTACCATTAACATGGCTTCTCCGAGGCTAGAACCCAGGACCTTCTGCGTGGCAGATGTGTAAGGCAGCCGTAATAACCGCTACACCGCGGGTGTCAAACTCATTTCCACCAGGGGGCCACATTAGCAACACAGTTCCCCTTGAAGGGCCGGTTGTAAATGGAAGACTGTATAGATAAGGGGTTCCCAACCCCTGGTCCGCGGACCAGTACCACTCCCAGTCCATAGATCATTTGGTACCGGGCCGCAGTGGGAAAAGGTGAAAACATTTGCTTAATTTTTAGTAATTTGCTTCATTCAAAGTCATATCCATTTACTTTCTTTATTTAAAGATAATCTGGTAATATTTTAAAATAACAGAGTAGTGTCTAAAAGATGTTTTATTTTATCCTTTAATGCTCAGTACCTTGATCGGCCTCTTTTACAATATTATTATCAGATATTCATTTTACACCGCTTGAACCAATCAGCTTTTCCCCCCGTCTGTTGTTAAACATTTACAGCATTGGACAATTACGCTGCATTACGTTTCATTGATTCATTTCATCCACGTCCCATCTGCCATGGCACTGTGTAGGGGATGCGCCCCCCACTTTGGGAACCTCGGCTTGGTGAATACTTTCACTTTGCTAGGCCAGTTTATACCTTGTACCGTATCTAATATTGTTTATCTGAGTTATAGAAAAGAATCACAGACTTTGGCTTCGAGTTCTGGTTATACAAATAAAAATTAGGACCATTCGCACAACTGTGATTGGATTGTTGATGTTTGCTCTGTTGTGTAGTAGTCGAGGCATGTGCGCGCACAGCTCTGCTGCTGGAATGATTAGTGAAAACATAAATAATTCACCCTGTCAAAACTCTGAGCTTTCCCTCCAGGAGGTGCAGAGTCACAGAAGACTGACTCAGTCCCACCACACATCTGCAATGATGACCCAAACATGTGGGACTTTTTTTTTTTTTTTTTAACATCCTGCCTGTTCTGAAAAACATGATGAATTATGGACTGGAAAGAGCAGGTCAGATAAGAGAGAAAATAACATTTTTTTTATTCATCTGAATCGAAAAGGTTTAAAAACAGTTTCATTTACCGTATTTCTCGGACCAGTCGCTCTGAAGTATAAGTCGCACCGGCCAAAAAATGCTTAATGAAGAAGAAAAAAACATGCATAAGTTGCTCTGGAGTATAAGTTGCACTAGCGCCCTCTAGTGGCTGTCAGAGGGGAAATACAAACATGTACATTTTCAGTGGTACAGGAGTAGCAGATGCTGGTATACAAGCCTAGAGTGCCCTCTAGCGGCTGTCAGTGTTAAAATAAAGAACATGTGAAATGATATATTTTACTATATAGGTAGCATCAAAGGATGGAAAAAAAGTGCGACTTAATAGTCCGGAAAATACGGTAATTAACCAAATCCTAAATCTGCCTATAACCGTAAAGTTTGGATATTAGCTATTGCCCAGTTTTATGTGTGACAAAGTGCATCGTCCTGGTAGGAATGCATTGAGGTTGTCTCTCTTTCTCTCATTGACTTGTCATGCACCTGATAAAACACAGGGTTAGCTTGGGGGTTAAGGATCAGAGTCGCAGGTCAGCGTGTTACTGAGTGACGCCTGCAGAGTTGAAGATGCTGATTCTCATGATGTTGATGAGAAGTCAAAGTCAAACACGTGTCTCAGTTCATCATCCCGTCAAACACAAGGTGATGTGGAGGAGGTGCGAACAAAAGCTCAAAGATGTCTCTGTGCGTCTGTTTCCATGTATCACATGAATTACCCGTGACCAAAACACGAGTCGAGCTTTTGCGTCAGAATGAGACCTCACAGGCGACAGGCCATATTTGGAGATACGACCTTCATTGTACACACGTGGTTGCCTGGCTAGCCAAACCTTTGAGGTTTCTGCATGCAATTTTAAACATTGTAAAGTAAACACGATTTTAAAAAAAATCGTTCAAGCGCTCAGTGTAAATGGAAATACAGGGAAATAAAATCAAGCAAAATGAAAATGACTGGAGCACAAGTTGTTGAGAATGACAAATTAAACCAAACACTGGAGGAAATTTAACTTGATTTTAATATATATTATAAAATATATTCACTATTGTGGTGCCTTGGCCCAGAGGGAACGTCTCTGTCATTGGTGTGGAACCCCAGGGTTCACCTCCTGGGCAAGTTCGAATCCCGGTTAGGGCAGTTGGTACCTTCCAGTGGACTCACCACCTGCAGGAAGGGTCAGGGTTATGTCCACACAATCCACATCTCTTGGATTCACCGGGTCCATTGGTTTTCATTGTTGTTGTCCTTCATACGTGCTGCTAACTGGGTTGGGGTCTTCTTGACTCCCTTCAGTATTTGTTCCAGATGCTGCATCCATGTACCCGAGCTCTCCCTCTTCAGTTTCAGGGATTTCTGCTTCAACACTGCTTGGGGCCAGAAGACCCCCACCAACCTGCACAAAAATCCAGGGTGAGGGATAAAAATAAGTGATACATCACATATCTCCTGTCATGGAATTCCCCCCACCACCACACATTACCTGCCTCTGGCAATGGTTTTACTAGCCCATACTATCCCTCTACCCCCTGCCCAGGACTACACAGGAGTCGTTTCGAAAGCCTTCTAAAAAGTCAACAAAACACATGCAGACCTGGCAAACTGAGACTGTAGAGCCGGTTCACTGGGCCACACTAAAAATCCAACATTTGACTTTTCAACAGAACCCTCAATCCAGGACCTCGAAAACACCTTACCAGGCAGGCTCAGAAGTTTGATCAACCTTAAGTTGAAAGAACACCCCTTACGTCCACGTCCCACGGTCCCTACAAGCTGTCTTGGCAGGGCCCAGGAAAAAAGGATTTTTGTTCCACTGATGGCTCCAGAGTTGCTACGACAGGCACAGACGACGTTTAGATCGCAGCTTTGATCATCTGCCTCAAGAATGGAAGCAAGGAACACGGCCCACCCAGAATTAATGCCTCCAAGCCCTCTGGATGTGGTTGATGAACCGCCCGAGGTGGGAATCGAAACTTCTGACGAGGAACCCTGCCAGACATTCTCAACAGATCTGCACAATCCCTTTGGGTTTGCCAGGCCTGAGTATCAGAGCATTTTCTTTCATGTGGAGTTTGCAAAGACTTATAGTTATATTTCTGTTGTTTAGTCTACTGAAAATAATATTTCTTGCTTTTTCTTGTTTATACATTGGATCATTTGTGTCCTTGAGCTAATATTTTATAAATAACTTTTCGTTCTAACGTTTATATTTTTAGGAAGTTGGTGATGTTGCAGTTGTATCCATAACCTCGCAAAAAACGTTTCCCTTCACTAGCTAAGCACGCACTGTCATATGGAATTCGAATTAATAACGAATTTGCCAAAGTTTCCTGTTAAAATTCTTTAACTCTCCAAGAAGATTTAGAAATCAGTCCAGTCTACTGTAAAAATCCTCCGCAAGGAAGACGATCTGAACCTGACCTGTGGATGTGGAGAGCTTGGAAGGCTTAGCTCATCTTCCATGGTCTCAGGCGGTCTGGATGTTGGTGAAATCACTGAGTGTCTCATTCGAGCCCATCGTAGCTTCATCGCCCTCGATCGTTTCCGGTTCTTTGGCATGTTAGCCAAAAGAAAAAACCCTGAACGTGAATGTGAAATCTTTGATTTTGTTTTATTAGTTAGCGCTTAAAACCCGCTGGTGAGACTAAAAAGCCATGTTTAATTGAAACCATCAACAAACACTTCACACATCATCAAAGCCTTCTCCAAAGATCAAAGTAGAGCAGAAACTTTTCCTCTGCCTTCATCATTCCTTCTTAGTAGTATTAACGTCAGTTAGTATGCTTTTGTCAGACAAGTGCCGTCTTTTCGTTATTTCTTCCTTACTGTATTTTACTCAGTTCAATTTCCTTATAACCCCCAAACATGCCAATGCTAGGTGATTAGGGTTATCGGAAACTCTAAATTGACCATACTGTTGGTATGAATGTCAGTGTAAATGGTTGTTTGTCTATATCAGGGATTGCTCGATGCAACTTTTTCATGTCTTATACCGATACTGCAACATGGAGTATCTGCCGATACCGATACCAATCCAATATTTCTTCTCCTCCAACATGCTGCGGGCTGTTGTTGCTGGGTTGCTAGTGTCCCTGTTTACGGCATGTCGTTAAGTTTAGCATTTGGTTTCCGATCGGACGGGATATCAATTATTTTTTCGATTTTGGTCAAATATTGGACCGATACCGTTACAACATATCAGATCAAGCCATCTTTCGTTTGGCGTTTCGGCGATCTGACCCGGATTGTATCTCACCGTTGCCCGTTGACAG